GGCTTCGGGCCAAGCCCAGCCGCCCCACCAGCTCTCGAGCCACCTAGAAGGGAGAGAGGGTGGGGAAATCAGACCACCCAGGACTCTTGCCAAAACTCGGGGTAGGGTGCTGATCCAACTGGAGGGGTCTCTTAGTCCTGTCACCACCATCCCTCCCTTACCGAAAGTGATGGACCTGAAACTCAAGGCAAACCTAGGGCCCAGGCACCCGGAGAGCCGAACATGAGAAGTTGGTTGGGAGTATGGGGGCCTTTCTGTGGCCTCACCTCCCCCGCTGTGGTGTGGGAGTCGATGGCCACCTGGCAAGCACCAGCCCCCGGGCAGTGCACGGTGCACAGCAGTTCCTGCCGTCGGCTCAGTGCCGAAATCTCTGCCAGTGATGGCACCAACTCTCGGCCCCGCGTCCGGCCCAGCGCTTTCCGGATGAATCGTGCATATTCCGCCAGTTCCGAGTCCGGGAGTGCCTGGTCCGTCCTGGGTTAGGAGGAACCCAGGGATCAGTGCCCCAAGAACTTGCCTACTCCTCCTCCCTCTCTGCCTGTTGTGCTAGGGTGTTTTGTTTTCATCTCGTCGATTTTCTCCCCCCTCACTAAAGTTCTTTGAAGGCAGAGTCCCGCTGCTCTTTTAAATCTATCCTGGGTGCTGTATGGCGCTCAGTCGCTGTCTATGCAGGTCGGCAACTCTCCCAAAAGCCCCTGCTCACTTCCGAAAGTCTCCGTGATCTTTCTTCCCGCCGAAATCCAGCCAAGTTGCTGTGCTTTCCAACCTAAAAGCCTTGCTGTTGGCTTTCATCAGTCCGAGGAAAAGCAGCACACACCCCCTTTTAAAGAAGTTTTTGCCTTAGGGAGCGTGCACTCGCTGGGGGAGGAGGGAGGAGACAGTGAGAGGGGAAAGTGAGAAATCACCCCCCAGGGGGGATGGTCACACTGCAATCCCGTCTTCATTCTCCTCCCAAGATTTGGGCACACATGCACACACACCCAGCCTTAGTTTCAAGCTACCAGATCCGGGAATGGAACCTCGGTCAGCTATGTGGAGTCCAGCGACATACCCACCGCCAGCTGCTGGCCCCAGCGGCCCAAAGGGGGTGCTTTATTGTAATTTTCACAAGTGGGATGTGATCTTGAAATTCCCACAAAGGCACTGTATATTAGCAGCAACTCTGATCTTGGGCAAGTCCCTGCTCCTCTCTGGACTAGGTTTTCCACCTCCCAAATCCTTTGGGAAGCTTGTCATTCTCCCAGCCCTGTAGCTCCCTGCCTTGACTTTACCCCTGCCTTTTCCCTCTCACCTCTCCAAATGCCCCAGGAGGTGCCCCCGCACAGCTCCCCCAGGCCGGAAGGTGCAGCTCATGCAGGTGAGGAGCTGCCAGTACCGTAGGGCTGCAGGGTCTCGGGTCTCTGGGAGCCCAGGAGGGCCCGCAGGGCCTGAGGTCTGCTTAGCCAGCTGCAGGAAGAGTTCGTCCCGAAGCGCAGGCAGGTCCCGGCAGGTTTGGAGCACACCCTGCATCAGGGGCCCAGGCCGCCGCGCCCCCTCCAGTGCCTGCAGCGCCAGGAACAGCCTCACAGCCTCCTCCCGCAAAGGTGCATAGCCCGGACCTGCGGGAGGGTGGGGGCGGAGGGACGGTTTGGAGAGGGGACACAGAGCTGCGCCCTGGGAGGGAGGCATGAACCAGAGGAAGGTCAAAGGGAATATAAAGGGACAGGGGTGGCAAGGAGGGGAGGGTACGAATGACAGGAAGAGTGAAGGGAAAGCAATTCCCACAGAATCAAACTCAACCCTTGCCTCCCAGGAATCCCCCTCTGGATCCTACTAAGCCTATGCTTTGAGTTAATAAGTTAGAGGTGTAGACTAGAGGACAAAGCTTCAAACCCCAGATTCTGTAACCAGGAGAGCCATCACCACAGGCCAGAAAATGGCTGGATTTAAGAGTCAGGAAACCAAGGTGCTTTTCCCAGCTCCTCTTGACCCCTCTATCTTTAAGACCTGGGTCACATCTACACCATTTGGGGGACAAGTATAGTTGAGTGAGGCCGGCACATTCGCCCACAGCTGTGACTTTTCACAATACCATTTGTAAAGACAGCATGACACAGTTTTAGAATATATACACATATATGTACAGATATACATACATGTACATACATATATATGTGTGTGTATACATGTGTGTATATATATATATATATACATCAGTGGTCAGAATGAGACCCATAGAGAAGTAATCAAAAGTTCCTTTTTCTTTCTTTTTAAAATTTTAGTACTTCGTTTGTTTATTTGTTTGTTTAGGGTGTATGTGCTCACCAAAGAGACAGAAAGAGGGAAAGTGAGAAATTATCCCTCCCCCCTCAGGGGGATGATCACTCTGCAATCCCTCTCCCCCATTCTCTTCTTGGGATTTTGGGCATGCACACACATGTACTTGGCCCTGGCGTGATTTTCAAGCTGCCAGGTCTGGGACTTGAACGGCAGTGGGCCATGTGGAAACTACCATGCCACCTGCTGGCCCCCATAGTGTATCTTAATAGTGTATAATATGGTTTTTTCAAAGCATACATGCATTGTATATTGATCAAGTAGAAGATATTACCTATACATCATGCTCAACAGATAACTTTCCATTGTAGTGTCTTTTTTTTTTTTTTTTGGAGAGGTTTTTGCTATAGGGCACATGCGATCGATAGAGACAGAAAGCAAAAAATCACCCCCCAGGGTAGATGGCCACTCCACAATCCCTTCTCTTCTCAGGATGTTGGACATGCATGCACACGTGCCCGGCTTGAATTTAAGCCGCCAGGTCTGGGACTCGAACCACAGTTGACTACATGGGAGTCCAGTGATATAGCCATTATTCCAACTGCTGGTCCCCCATTGTAGTATCTGTTAAATGTTTTTTTCTGAGCCCCTCCCTCCTACCCCCCCCCAGGTCCTTTTTTCCTGTGCTGGCTTTTCTTCCCTGTGCCCTGGCCAGCTACCAGTTTGACCTTCATCCTTTGAAAAGTAAGAACTTTTAGGTTCCCTGCTAGTTAAGGCATTTTGATTCTCACCTCCAATCCACTCTATCCCACCCAGGGAACCTGGGCCATAGGACCACTCACCAGGGGCGTTGACTCCATAGGGCAGGGGCAGGAGTGGGGCGTACAAGGCTCCACTGGTGTGCCTCAGAATTGGGTTTCTTCGGTAAATGAGGGCCACTGCTTCTGGGTCTCCACAGCTCTCCTACGGGTGGGGAGGATTACCATGAGCCTAGAAAGCTTTTGAGTCCACCACCTCCTGACTTTCACTGGTGTCCTCTCTCTCTCACCTGTATGTCTCTGAGCAATAGCTGGGTGGGGGTCTCCAGGGGCGCCTTGGAGGTGATCACTTCCCGCAATGCCACCCCCCAGCGCTCGGCCTCGGCTTGACGTGGGGAACAGAGGCGAACACTGTGCTTCCGGCCAGACACAGTTACTGACCATAGACCTGGGGGAAAGAGCAGAGGCGGAGGGCAATCAGGGCCTGCTGGGGGCCCTGCCCAGCAAAGCAGGAGAATCCTATAAGGTCTCACCGGTCTCCTTGGGCCTGCGCTCTGGGCCGGTAACCGAGCAGAGGCTGGTGAGCACCAGGCTCCCAAGGCGCCGCGCCCCCTTCCCGCTGCTGCTGAACTGGTCCAGGGAGTCCCGAGTGAGTACAAACCAGGCCCTGCGCGGGGGTAGCCAGGGCCGTGCTCCTCCTCCGCGAGGCTCTCGATATAGCCAACCTTGGGGGAGGAGGAGGGAAGGGAGATCAAGAGAACGAGTCATTATCCCCTAGAGGAATGGGATTGGGGAGGCTCCAACGTGTATTAAGTGTGTGGGGGTCCCCACCTTTCACGACGACATCCGGGTCGTCCTCCGGCAGCCCCTTCTCTGGGATGAGGCTCCACGTTTCCTCCCAGCTCTGCAGCCTGGGCCAGAGGGGAGGGAGAATTAGGCGAGGTTGCAGAGCCTCCACTCTGCCTCCAGGGGGCTCCCCAATAGGGGCTCCCTAGACCACGAGGGGTGCTTGCTCCCAAGCTGGACACCCCTCCCCCAAGCTGTGGGAACCGCCAAGCGGTTCTGACCTCGCACCAGAAATAGCCCGGATCCCCCCTCTTCCCCGCGCCCCCAGCCGGACCGCCCCCCGGGACCCTGGCCAAACCACAGCGTCCGGCGGCGTAGGGCCTCTCCCTTATTGCACAACTGCGCAAGAGAAGACTGCGAGGATGGGGGTCCCGGGAACCGACTAGGGTCTCCAGACTATGGAACGCAGGGGTGGAACTCACCTGTCCGAGACAGGCCCGCTCCTCACCGGCTGAGTCAGTGTCACGTCCAGGGGACCCTACCGAGGCAGACAGGCAGACAGGGAAGCCTTCAGCCAGAGCCCTCCCCAGCGCAATGCCATGGCTTCTGCACCTCCCGGGATTGAGGAAGGAATCAAGGGGTGGGGTGTTGACGGAGGAGGAGGGAGCTGGAGCCGCTGGGCTCTCCTCTCCCCAGGGTCTCTTACAGAACAAGCTCCAGCCTGGAACAGTTACCCTTCGAGGCAATCTGGGATGGGCAGGGTGGAAAGAGCACTGGGCAGAGAGTCAGGAGAGCTGGGTTCTAATACCAGCTCTACCACTAACTCACTGAAGCTGGAAGAGGTCCCCTCCCATCTCTGGCCCTTCCTTTCCCCATCTTTGAAACCGAGGAGGTGAAAGAAGCCCCTTTGGGAAGTCACTCCCCCTCACTTTCCCTTTGCTCACTCTGCAGGCTAATCAGGGGAGGGCAGGTGGTGGGCACCCGAGGAGAACGAGGGGGAGAGGAGCCCTGTGAGTACGGGGCTTTCTCCAAGAGCTTCCTGTGTTCTCCCACCTACCCCTGACACTCAGTGGTGAGCAGGGACCCTGCCCTCTGCTGGGGTTCAGGCCACGGTGAGAGGTATAGTCCGGCATTTTGCTCTCCCCTCCATCATCTACCCCCCATGACACTTTAACTGTAGACGGGTCTGAGAGCAGAGCCAGGTGGGAACTATGCCATGGTCCCATTGCGCTCGGACTGTTAGAGCCAGGCAAGGGAGGTGGGGGGAGGGGGTCAGGGACACCTGTCCCCAAGCTCCGAGAGAAGGGGGGAGGGTGGAGGTGGAACACGAGGGAGGCAATGGCATGGTTGAGAGGGCAGACCCTGCCCAGGCTGAAAGCTTGGGGACGCCTGAGTCCCGGCGGTCCAGTGTCTTCCCTGGGCACACATCTTCCTATTTTGTACAGAATCCCTTAGGGGCTCTGCGCCACCCCACCATAGGGGCAGGTACTGGCCACCCTCTTAGACCAGTGTCCCTCATCGAAGTCCTCTGCTTCCCTCCCCCTCCTCTATATTTATCCGCCCTCCGCCTCCGCCAGGTGCTGGCGCCGGCCCCAGAGGCGCAGCCCGCCCCACCCGGGCACCGAGCCACCAGGCCTGCTGGGGACCCCTGAGCGGGGGATGGGAGTCTGACCCTGGCCACAGCACACAGGAGTCTGGCTGTCCGGTGTGCAGGGACATGGGGGAAGGGACATCAGGGGATGGAGGTCTCCCACACCAAATGTGCCTCAGTTTCCCCTTGGGGAGATTCAATAAAACCAGGCAACTGAGTGTCCCCTCAGGGATTTCCCAGGAACCTCACCAGGGATGGCCGAGAATTCTGTCCTGAGTGGCAGAGTAATGACGCGGGGTCCTGAAAGAGCGGTGACCCCCAGCTTCCTTTCCATGGGATCCCTGTCACGGACCCCAGTTCTAGGATGCCTTCTCCCTCTCGCCCAGGTCCCCGCGGCCTGAGCTCCAGCATCTGGCGCCAGCGCTCACGAACTGGGAGCGGAGAGGACCCAGGCGTTCGAGCCGCCCAGCCGGCCTCGCCACATTCCTCGGCGCTGGCGGAGGCGGAAGGAGACGGGATGGGACGCGAGCCCGGCGGAGAAGGGAGAGGCAGGGCCAGGTCGGGCCACGCGTGACGCCTCCCCTGCCTCAGGGCCCCCAGCAGGTGGACAGCGCCCAGCGCGCTGCGCGAGGCCCACAGGCACATCCCGAGTAGGGCTGCCTCTTGATCTCCCAGGGGCTCTGCCCCCCAGGCAGACTTCCCCCAGGTCGCCAGGTCGCCAGAGCCTAGAGTGCAGCATTGGCCTGGGATCAGACACGACGGCCGGTTGTAGGGGATTGAGACCAGGCTCCCAAACCCCCTGGGACTTACCCTCCCGCCGCCCGCTGGACTTGGGGTCCGTAGCTCAAAGGTCTCTTCGTCCTCGTCCTCGTCCCCGTCCCCGCTAAGCTCGCCGTCTCCGTAGTCCCGGTGCAGCAGAGTGAAGCCTCGACGGCAGCAGAGGAGCCACCACAATCCCCCGGGGAGAGGCATCCGGGCAAGCAGACGGGGATGGGGGCGCAGGCAGCCGCTGCGGAGCAGCAGGGGGTCGGAGAAACTGGCTGGGCTCCGACCCCAGCGGGGGGGAAAGAAGACGCGGGAGGAGGGGGTGGGGGACAGGGAGGAGACAGTGTCCGGCGGTGGGGTACAAGGAGACTCTAAATAGAGCCTGTGGGGGGCTCAGTGTCTGGGCGGCCGGGGGGGGGGGAGCGGGGGGGG